ATTCATCCACTCATTCATTTTCCTTCACTTAACAAGCATTTGTAGAGGCCCTGTTGTATGCCAAGATGAGAGGCATTGGGGGAAGAAAAAGCCTGTTACACAGGTGAGAAATACTGGGTCCCTTCATCTAAAGGACTTAAGACCAATACAGAGAAGTAGGTAGGCAGAGAGTAAAAGAGTCAGTGAAGGGATAAGCTACACAGTGTTGGGAGCCCAGAAGGAGCAGCTAACTTCCAGATGGAGGGCAAAGGGGCCTGGGAAGGTAGCGTGAAAGCAGGACAAACACCAGCTGAGTAAGATTTCAATAGTGTGAGCATGTGCAGGTCCTGCCCAAGGAATATCCAGGGGACCACTTTGGTCAGAGGGGAAGGCTTGTGAGGGACATGGGAGAAAAGGAGGCTGCACTCAGACCAGGGAGGGCCCTGAGAGCAAGGTGAAGGGTCATGGGCTTGATTTTGTCAGTAGTGGGCAGCCACAGCCAGCTTTGCAGGAGGACAGGTCAGTTCTTATGGTCCCACCCACGTCTCTCACATACATGAACTGAGCCATAAGAAAAAAGGGAGTGGTCAGCAAGCTGAGGGGCTTGACCTGGGGAGGTCTCTGGGGCAACTCTTGAGCTCCTTGCTATAAAATCCAGAAAGATTGTTGTTTGTTTACAAAGTTAAGTTTAACCAGACATGCTGTCTCCCCATTCAGACCCAGGGCCACAAGAGGGCAGAAACCAGGCCTTCCTTAACCATTTTTTTTTCCTCAGGGAGTCAATACTTAGTCCTCAACACCCAGTAGGCTATGGAATGCAGCTGCAGCAGCAACCTTGCCTGCCAGAGGGTTTGTGTAGAGGAGATTTAGGAATAGCAAATAGGGACAAGAAACATTCCTCTACTCCCATTCCCTACTATAAAGTGAAACACCAGAGAGTACACAGTGCAACACCTAAGTGCTCCCTGAGTGCTCATGTTGTTCTGTACTCCTCTCTCCCTGGTCCCCCTCCAACTGGGGGGAACCAGAATGAATCCAGAGACCTTGTGCCCTGCACCTGACTTTGCCTCCAACTGAATGAGGTCCTGCGAATGAACAGACAACCACAAGTTCCAAATTGTTTTCTCCTAATAACTCTAAAGATCTGAACCAGTGGTATTTTTTTGGGGGGGGGGTCATAGGAATACGTTGTTTTACTAGCGAGACAAGGCTTCCGATTGCAGAACAAAGCAGAGAATTGACATAATTATCCTGTGGATTTTAGTCAGAGGTTGGGTTGGATCCTAAATTAGTCTGGGACCCTCAAATGCCCTATTTTGTCTGCTAGGTCTCTGTGCTACACCTGGGGAGGCTATGATGCCAGTGTGAAAAATAACAATTCTTGATGAAGTCCAATTGCTTATGTGTGCCACACTCTTTCCCACCCATACCTCATTGGGTGTTCACTGGGTATCCATCTCTGTGAGGGAAGTAGGTAGGGACCTTGATTTCCATATTCTAGGTGAAGTGGAGAAATGATGACCCAAAACATAGTACCTGGCTCAGGTTGATACTACTCAGTCAAATGTTGGAGCTTGCCAGACATGGTGCCACACACCAACCTTTGGAAGGCAGAGGTAGGAGGATCATCATGAGTTCAAGGCCAGCCTGGACTACATAGTGAGTCCCTGTCTTAGAAAAAGAAAAGTGAGATATAAAAAAATGTTAAGGCTTGCTTGAGATGTCACTGCTAGCTCTTCATGAGACAGGTCTAGGGTCTGGCTCTCGGATCTCCCCTAAGCAATCTTCTTTCCATTGCACCACGTTGCCTCAGCAAATATCCCAGCCTGGGTCAGTAGATGTTATTGATGGGAGACATATTCAAGAGTAACAATCTGCCCTGCAAAAGACTATTTTGGAATTAAGTGGAGGTGCTGTCCCATACTGAAAAGAACTCTGGATAGAAGTAGGATTACTGGGTTTGAGTCCTGGCCCAAGAACTAACTGGCCATGTGACCTTGAGCAAGCCACTCATAGAGGCCCAGAGACTGTTTCCTCAATTACAAAATGAAGAGCTGTAGTGAGGTGAGAAACAAATGAAATAGCACAAGTAAGGGGCTCGGTACACACTCTGTGCTATACAAAGGTAAAATATTATTATTATGGTTATGTTGTGGTTCTAGCCTCAAATAAAATAATCATTAATATCTCCATTCTTTACAAGGTTTCCCACAGCCCTCCCCACAGCTCCTTGGTTTCCCATCATCTCCTGTAGGGCAGGAAGCCTGGCCCCCAACAGGAAAGGGCTCAGAGAAGCTAGAGCTTCAGCCAGGAAACAGCCATCTTGCCCCAACCTTCATTTCACCAGATAAATGATGCAGCCAAATGGTGAGACACAAACTAGTGTAAACTGAGGTGGCCAGGATCTGTTTCAACTGTCAAACAAGAAGCCAAGTTGCCAGAAGGTCCTAGGACCTTAAGTGAGGTGGCCATTTAGTAATTACTAGATTAATTAAAATCAGTGAAGGTGGTCAACTTAAATCAAAGCAGAATTGATGGGGGTCTCCATTATCAGGCCTCACAGAGGTGATTTCCCTCTCAGTAATGCATTTTGAGTTCATACATTGATTAGTTTAAACACACCATTTCCAAATCTTCACTTTTCCTTGGTGCAGCTTAGGCCAAACATTTTTAATGGGTGTGCATACGGAGGGGGAGTGCATGGGAGAGTATGTATCGCCGGGCAAAAATGGTGAAGCGGTTCTCAAAGCCCAAGACAATAGCCAGGGCTATGTCCATGTTGTTGGCAATAGATTTTGAGGCTGGCAGGGACAAGTAAGGGGGTGGGGTAGAGAACGCCAGACTTTAAGCAACAGCAAATCCACTGTAGCCTTAGGTTGCTCCTCTACTCATGTACAGCCCTCAGACCAGGTGATGGAGACATACCAGGCAAGTCTCAACCACCATCTAAGTCCTTCCAAAGGAGAGGGGACATCCCCTAGCTTAGAGATGGAACCTCTAAGCCAGGGGGAGGGGGACAGAGAAAAGGAGGAGGAAGAAGACAGTAATCCCACAGGACTTCCTTATAGTCTAAATGACCCTCTGGATTCCGTGCTACAGATAAATATATAATAAATATCAATGTATCTGCACACAATTTTTTTTTCGAATTCCTGCTATTCATTTCACATTCTGTTTACAAAGCAATGAATCCTCCAGGAACTGCGGGGCACCTCCCCTAATACCATCTAGGCAGAGGCGATGCCTTTGAAGTCCTCACCAAGGCTCAGGGTTGGAGCTGCTAAGAAACACCCTAAGACTGAAAGCAAGTCAGCCCGCAGCGTCAGCTTGTTCGCAAGCTGCTCTCCTTGGAGTTAATGTAAAGTCATCAGAGTTACAATGTGGACCGCAAGCTTCTCAGCCCTTCAGTCCCAGGGATGGCCTGGGATGTAAACACACACTAGGATTTATTTCTTTGGCCAGGCGGGGAGTCATTAGAGTAAAGGGTAAGGGTCAAGGGGCTCAGATTGGTGGCTGATGAGCACCGGGAACGCGAAGCAGAAGCCCAGTCCTCTTGGAGCAGGGCTTTTGCCTCGGGTAGTGCTGGCTTCCCCCTTTACAGACCTTTCGCCCCCCTCCTCCTCCTTCCTCTCTCGGGTCTCCCCCCCTCCCCAGCCTCCTTGCCCAGGCAGGGCCTGCCCGTTGACAGTGGCCCAAGGGATTTGCAGCCTGGGAGGTTGTCACGAAGGGTGGGCCGCCCCAGAGTCTCCAGGCTGGGCTGCGAGCCCCGGTATTTTCCCTCCTCCAGCACCTGTCCCACTTCGGCGCCGGGGCTGGGGCTGCGCCTGCGGCGGCCTCAGGACTAGAGCGCCCCAACCACGCACCGAAGTCGTCTAGGGTGGGGAAGTGTGAGGCCGCTGGAGGGGCGGAGCGTTCGGTGGGGGCGTCCTGCCTCAGACAAGACCCCGGCCCTCCTACAGAGAGCGAGGCAAAACCGGGAGTCATCCATAAAGCGGGAGCGAAAACGCTCGCTTTGCGACCCCGAACGGCATTGCAAGCTGCTCCCCCTTCCTGGAGCCAGGGGCTGGCCGGGGAAGGTGGCTCCGTTCTTCCCCCGTGGCCAGTGCGGGGTCTGCGGCTGCCGGGCGAGGTTCCGGCTTCCCCAGGGCTGGCAGGGGGAGCCCCGAGAACTGCAGGCCCGCCCCCCTTCCTCCTCCTCCTTCCCCTCCTCCCCCACGTGTCCGCCTGGAGCCCAGCGGCCCGATCCCAGCACCCCCCTCCCCGCGCCACCTCCCTCCTCCCGCTTGGTCCGCTTTCCCCGCGGCTTGGAGAAGAGCAAAGTTGCGACAGCGGCCAGGGGGCTCTGCCCAGGTGAAGGGGGCGCTGCGAGCGGGGCCGGGAGGGGGGACGGCGTGGCTCTGCGGCTGTGGCCGGGGCTGGGGAGGGGATAAAGAAACTTGGTTCCCGAGGCCCCCACCCCGCGCGGGTTCGGATCTTGCGTGATCCGAGCCCTCGTGGCGAGACGCGGCAACGCCGCGGACACCAAGGCCGACACCAGGACCTGGACCCGGGCCGGGACCTCGCGCTTCGGTCGGATCGGCGGGTGCAGGCGGCTGGCCAGGCCGGCACCCAGGCAAGGGCGGGGTGGGTGGCCCTACACCGGACCGAACCGGGGACTCTAGTGGCGTGGGCGCGGGCCGAACCCGGACCGGGCCGAGTTGGGTGGCAAAGTAGGACGTGGATTCGGGGGCGGGGCGTGGCGGGAGGGGGAAACCAGGCCCGGCCGGACTGGCCTGGGCGTGGGGGCGGGGGGCGAGTTCGGGGCACTTGCTGGGTTCTGGACCGAGCGGTAGGGCGGGGCGGCGCTAGGGGCTGGGCGGGACCCGCGGGGAGAGGGAGAGGGGAGGGGGAGCCGGGGGTGGAGTAGGGGCGTGGAGTTGCAAGCGGGGTCTGGCCTCGGCCGGGGGCGAAGGTAGATCGGCGGGGCCGCGAGCGGAGGGAGGGAGGGAGGCCCGCGGCGGCGCGGCGGCGGCGAAGGCCAGCTTCCGCGGAGTTTGTGCCCAGGCTTCCCGGCCGGGCTCTGGCCGCCTCACGCGCACAAATGGGGCTAGGGGACTGACTGGTAAGCAACTCCGAGTGTTAGACGGTGTTCGGTGGCGATTCCGGGAAAAGCGAGGAAAGACACCGTCTGCAATTATGCCGCACCCCCACCCACCTCTTAGCATCTGGATAATGTTCTCTGGGGGCCGCAGGCCCTCCCCGTCATAACCTTTTCACTCTTTTGCATCCCCCCCCACTGACCCTTGTAGGGATTTGTGTTTAGGGGTGGACTGTGGCGGGGGAGGGGTTATACTTTTCCTCCCTTGGGGACAGCCTAGATCGCATTTTATTCCTACATGGTAGCGACTTGTCGAGTCGTGTGGACACTGGGGTTTCGCTAATTTAGGCCCCCCCCCTTATTTGATGGCTATTAAGGAAAGGGACGAATCCCTGCGTTTTCAAGGCTGGGATGGGGTTTAAGGATTGGGATTCACCTCCAGCTCACTTCCATTACCGACCTCTCTTTACTGTGAGCCACTTCCATGGGGATCCAAACCGGGGTGGGGGGGTGCTCGGGAGTATTAATGTGCTTCTCTATCTCTACACAGGTTCGGCCTGGCGAAGGACAGCTAGCCTGGGAGGAAAAACAGCCAACTGTCCAACTCGGGTCGCCCCCACTATTCTTTCGGTGAGGGGGCAACGTTATGGGGAAACTGGTGGGTAGGAACCCAGTATAAGGGAAAGGGTAGGTTGTCGCCCCAAGAGAGAGCCTTCCTTGACGGGGAGAGAGGCGAGCCCCGGCTTCGAGGGAGGGGTTCCGGGGAGGGAGATGGGGGGTGGCGGCGACGGGGGGGGGCGGGAAGAATGGGAGAGTCACGCCCTGCTAACAAGGGGAGCCTCCCTCAGGCCCCTGGGAGAAGGGTACTAAAGGGGAGCGAATGCGTATGTTTCTGTGCTGCCCGGCAAGGGAGATCTGGGGGTCTCGGGATTTGCACACTAGATAGGGCACCAGTGGCCTGAGAAAGTCAGGTCGGGGCACAAGGTGGAGAGCGTAGGAAGAAAGGGAGAGCTAAACCCCTGGTCACAGCACACAGATGATCTCCCTTCTTTAACCTCCTCTTTGAGGGGCTTCGGGGGTGGGGGGGCGTGGGGCTCTTGCAGCCCCGCGGATTGAGTGCCTCCGCCTCTCCCGGCAGTCTAGCTTTTTGCCCAGCTTGCTGCAGCCACCACTGCCTGCCTCTCCGGAATCCGCTCGGTTCTCGCAGCGATCCCCTCCTCCTCCCCTCCTCTCCCCTCCCAGTGTCACCGGGGCTGCTTGGCTCTGCCCCCTTCGCCGCCGCTTGCTCCCTGCTTTCGTCCCTCCCTCTCTCGCTCTCTCCCTCCCTTCTCCTCCTCCCCATTCCCCCCCGTAAGGCAAGCATTCTGGGAGTTGTAGTTGCGTGCTGTCCAGGCTGACGCCGCCCGCAAACCGGGCCAGACTCCACTTCCCGTCGAGCCCTGCGACCGGCACCCACTCCACCAGGCTTCGCTCTCACACACCGACACACACACACACATCGCTCTCCCCCTCACTCTTTCGCTCGCCGCGGCTGCTGCCAGTGTGTGGCTCTGTCTCTCCTCCGCTTTGCTGAGCCCTCCCTTCTTCCTCTCAGTTCCTAGAGTCCGACCGCCGCCGCCGCCAGGAGAGAGGAGAAGGAGGTCGGTGGCGATAAGGGGTGGAGGGAAGCATCAGATGTGGGCAGTATTAGGCGGGTGACGGTTTGTAGGGGTAAGAGGGAACCCGGGTGGCGGCCTGAGCCTCCCCGCCGAGCCGACCCAGGAACAGGTGCGTCTTTTTTTCCTCTCCCCCAATCCCTCCACCCCTTTTGACTCCCTGGCTTTTTTGTATTCCCCCACCCGCTTTTTTCTATCTTAAGCCTTTCCTCAACCCTGTCTCCTCCTCGCCCCGCGGCCGCTCTGCTTGCCCCCCGGGGGCGCCGTCCTCTTCGTGTCCCCGGACGTAGCGCTCCGTGGAGCTTGCTCTGTCCTCGCCCCTCCCTTCGGGACAGCTCCCCTCCACTTCCCACCTTCGCACCCCATCCCTGCTCTACCCTACCCCCTCCTCGACCCCTTTCTCTCTTAGCCAGGTGAGACTAGTTCGCCACGATCCCGGAGAGTCTTCTTCCTGGCTGGGTGGGGGTCTCCATGGAAACAGGGGTCGGTAGCTCCTGGGGGGGGAACCGTAGGAATTACCCCACTCCTCCGAAAGGGAGGTGGAGACTACGGTCTTGTTAACTACCTGGCCTCAACCCCGATACCAGGATCCGAGGATCCGAAAGGAGCCTGGCCAGCAGGGCAGGGCGAGAAAAGGCTTGTTTTCTTTTTTGGGGGGGTTGCCCGTGATGAAGTCTTGAAGAGACCAGGAGAAAATACCCTCCAACCTCAGAGGGGAGGTGCGACGGGTGCTCTTTCAGGTCTGCTTTTTCCCGTGCTGGGGTGCGGGAACGGTGGGGTAAGGGGTACCCCTAGGTGGCGGTGGGGCCTGGGATCGGGAGTGGGAGTGCTGTGATGGGGGCAGGGGCAATTATCCGAGTCCCTGGAAAAAAGGCGGGGGATGACTTCGGAGCGCCCTGGCTCTGCTGCCCTCGCTCTAGGGGCGGGGGCCGCCGGGCCAGGCGCGGCAGGGAGGGGGCTTAAATTGAAGGAGGATGAGATGGGGGCAATTCACACTAGCCCTAGCAAACCAGGGGGAGATCCGGGCGTCCAAGCCCCCACCCGCTTCGCGCCAGGCCTGAAGGCAAGGGGTCTTAGAGCGGAGCAGAGGGCTGGAAAGACGGAGGCTCTGGTTACGGGGCCGGGTTTCGGGATCGGGGGCAATCCCCCGGCCCTTGGAGGAGGGAGGAGGATGACCGCGAACCCCGGGGCTCCCCCACCCTCGGTTCTAAGGGGCGTGAGAAACGGACAGCAGGCCCAACAGAGCTAGATTCGAGAGGATTGCGGCCACGGAGTGGGGGGGCTTAGTGGTGGGCTTCGGGGGGAGCAGACCGGCGTCTGGGCGGGCGGGC